GGGGGGAGGAGCCTTAGGTCAGGGCTGCCCCCAAAGTCCCGCCCTCCGCAGTCCGAGCTCCTACCAATGCCTTGGGAACGGCCAATCTGAGCCCCGACGAATGTCGAATGTGGGGGTCAGGGATTCCAGACTTGTCCTGGGTCTAGATACGCGGGGTGCATCCCGCCTGGCTGGACTTGCACCATGCGTGCAAGGGAAAGGCTTGCAGGGTGAGGGGAGGGACTGCGGCCACGGGCAGTGCCCAGGGTCCTTCAACAAGTAATGATAACAAAACCCATGACGACCACTTGTAGAGCTTACCACGTGCCAGGTGCTGTTCTAAGCGTTTTCTAGAAAGGCTGAAGTGCCACTTTTTTGCATCTACTGTTTGTGGAGCAGAATGGGAATCAGAGAGCAGCAGAACAAGTCTGAAATAACCTCCTGGAGAAGCAGTGTCCTCCATCGGTCGGGCAGATCCCTGGGAGGTTTAGCCAATCCTCGTGGGCCGTCTCCTCCAGGAAGCTTTCCTACATGCTCTAGTGAAAGCACCCTCCACTTCACGGTTCAGCACTTGCTTCACATATTTTGTGTTTTTTTTTTTAACCTTGAGAGGTTAAAGGCAAGAGGGTGCCTCGTGCATTTTTTATTTTTTTCCAGGAGAAACTGAAGCCCAGGTGGGCCAAATTAGGACTACCTGGGCAGCCAGGGACAGCGTGGACAGGGACAGAGGCCTCATTGACTGTTGCTGGGCCACTGCCACCATCATCACCCCCAGGCTTTTAAATTTTTTTAATTTTAATTTTTTAAATATATTTTTATTGATTTCAGAGAGGAAAGGAGGAAGGGAGAGGGAGACAGGGAGAGAAACATTAATGATGAGAGAGTCGTCGTTGATCGGCTGCCTCCTGCATGCTCCTGACTGGGGGATCGAACCTGCAACCTGGGCATGTGCCCTTGACCAGGAATCAAACTCTGATCTCCTGGATCCTAGGTCGACGCTCAACCGCTGAGCCTAAGCTTCTTTAGATCAACCTTTTCAGCAGGCTTGTGAGCTGAGGAGGGCCCCCTGGTGTTGAGGAGGGGTCAGGCTCTTTGTTGGGGCTGGGGGGAAGTTTGTAGGGCCCAGAGAGGTTGTAGGACTTTACCAGTTGAGGACGTGACCAGTCTGGAGCCCCCTAGACCTTGGGAAGACAGACTCTGTGTCCATCCCCATCCTGTTATGTCCTCCTGGCTTTTTATGCAGCCCCTCCACTCTGGCCTTTCCTCCTGTCGCGTCCATCCTGCCAATGAGCTGGCATTTTCTGAGTATCTGCTACCTGAATATCAGGCTCTAACAGAGCACCCCACCTGATGCAGGGGATTGGGTAACAAAAGGCCCAAGTTAGTGAGGTCAAGAAGGTTGTTTGGGGGAGCGGGATGGGGTTCTATGGCAAAGGGGACTTCTTCTCCCCTGGTGGGAGGAGATAGGGCTTTGGGGACCCCAACATGCTGTTAGAAATACTTGACTTCAGCCACAGGGGTCTCTCAGTTGTCAGGGCATGCTGAATAATGCAGGAAAGAAGACCCTGGCAGTTCCTGCTGGTGCACCTGGTGCAGTCGAGGCCAAATCAACTCTCAGCTAAGTTCTCAGGAGCTAAGCTCAAGTTCTTTGGTTGGGCTCAGGTTGGGGATTGCTCTTCTCCAGGTTAGGTAGTCTGACCCTGGGTGCTTTTCCACTCCAGGGGTGTTGGAGGTGGGAGGGGATCATCCATGAGCCCGATGGAAAACGGCCATCTAGGCAAGCCCTGCACAGCGAAGGCTTTGTCTGAGCTGAGAGTGGACATAGGATGGCCTACGGGCCCATGGACATCCAAGAAGCCACTGATAGCTGGACGTGAAGGAAGAGGTAGACCTCTTATCAGACTGGGGTCGGAGTGACGAGTCACAGAAGGCTTCTTGAAGGCATTCGAGCCTTGAAAAGTCGGAATAAGTGGACAAAGTTTGGGTCAGCGCATTCCAAGTGGCAGGCATGGAGTGAGCTGTGCGGTTAGCGCTTAGGCAAAACCAGGGCGATCGACGCGCTCTACTCTCGTTCACTCAGGTCTGATTCCACTTGCTGCTTTCTCACCGATTGGGGTTGAACGCGTCACGCCTTAGAGCTTTGCCCGCCCCCTACCTGCTAGGCGAGTTGTAGGGGAGGAAAAGGGCGGGCACTCCCAGAGCAACTCAGCGTTGATTGGCTTTCAGGACTTCCTGCTCTCTCATTTTCATCCCCGGATTGGCTGTGAGAGTCATCTGCTCATTGGGCCTGCGCGTGGTAAGACTAGCGAAGAGGAGGGGTTGGCGGGCAAGATGGCTGCTGCTGCGGCCGGTGTGGGCCGGCTAGAGGAAGAAGCGTTGCGGCGAAAGGAACGGCTGAAGGCCCTACGGGAGAAAACCGGGCGCAAGGTGAGGAATGCGGGGTGAGGGCCGTGGCTGAGGTACCCAGCGTTCGGGTCCGGTACAGGGACGAGAAGGCAGGGTAGTACTAAGAAAAGGCAGCTACGGGGGACGCGCATGCGCGTGCGGCTGGCGCATGCGCGAGGGGTCGGCGTCTGCCCACCCGGTCTGGTGCTGGTGGGTGGGCGGCAGGACAGTGGTCAGCGCGCAGCCCGCCGCTTGGCCCGCTGCATGTTTTCGTCGTGGGTCTCCGGAGCCGCTTACTGTTTCAGATGCTCGTTGGTTTAGGCGTGGCTGGTTCGCGTCTGAACGCGCGGAATCTCCCGTCTCCCCAGGACCCAGCTGGCCTTCCACTTGCATCCCTAGTGAAATGTCATGACGTGTCTGGCAGACCCTCTTCTGGGCGTCCAGCTGGAATCGTTTAGTACAAGAATCCAAAAGGGAAGACCCATTTCTAGGTCCGGGTGGATCTCAGGGAAAGAGGAGGGCGCTTAGCTCCTTCCCAGCCTGCTCCTCTGGGATGGACCTCTTAAACCTATCCGTTGCCATACCTGCAAGCATTTTCCCTTGCTCTTTGTTTGACAGCAGAATGGTCTGATTCCATTCCTACTTTGTTTATCTTTCCTTAATAATCGAGAGGAAGGAGAACCCTGAAGATCACTACCTATGTGCAAACTCTGGCCCTTTCACTTGGGGCTGTGGGACTTGGGGCAAATGGCTTCATCTCTGTGAGGCCCGGTTTCTTCATGTCTGGAGTAGAAGATAACAACCCCTGTATATTCATTCTCATCGGGTTATTTTGAGATCTAACGGGATAATCTGTGAGAGGGCACTAGAGACGACAGAGGGGTGGAGGTGGTTGGTTCTGCTCTTGTTGGATGGATGGAAACTCTGTACGCAACAAAATGCAAAGGACATTAAATATCTAGATCAGCGAGGGATTGGAAGACACAGGGACTCCAATTTCCAACTTGAAAAAACAACAACAAGACAGGCTGGTCAATCGGGCCCCTGTTTAGTTTCTGCGTGGGCAACTGGGGTTCTGTGGGAAAGCGAAAGGGGGAAATAATAGTGAAAGCTTGCCAGATTGGCTTCTGCTTTTGTTGGCAAGGTGTCGGCACTGTCAGTTATCCACACAAACCGTCTGGCCTATTTATTTATTTATTTTTAATTTTCTTTAAATTGATATTTAGAGAGAGGAAGAGAGAGAGAGACATTGATTGGCTGCCTCCTGCACATGTCCCGGCTGGGGATCAAACCCACAACCTGGGTATGTGCCTTGACCGGGAATTGAACCCACCACTGTCTGGTGTGCCGGAGGGACCACATGCCAACCTACTGAGCCACACCGGCCAGGGCTCCTTGGTTAAATTTATTCCTGAGTATTTTATTCTTTTTGGTGGTGTTGTAAATAGGTTTGTTTTCTTAATTTTCATTTCAGATTGTTGATTGTTAGTCTGTAGAATGCAACTGATTTTTTTTTTTTTCCTGTTGATTTTGTATCTTGGAACTTTGCTGAATTTATTTTTTAGTTCTAACAGTTTTTGTGAACTCTTTTGGGTTTTCTGCATATAAAAACATGTCTGTGAACAGAGATAATTTTTACTTCTATTTCAATGCCTTTTATTTCTTGCCTAATTGCTCTGGCTAGAACTTTCAGTAACATGTTGAGTAGAAGTGGTAAAAGCAGTCATCCTTTTGTTTTGTTTCTGATCTTGGGGAAATGCTTTCATTCTTTCACCATCGAGTGTGATGTTCAAATATGGCTTTTTCAAATATGGCTTTTATCATGTTGAGGAAATTTCTTTCTATTTCTAGTTTGTTGGATGTTTTTATTATGAAAGGGAATTGAATTTTGTCCAATGCTTTTCTTCATCAATGGAGATGAACATGTGGGTTTTTTTCCTCCTTTCTATTGTATTACATTGATTGATTATTGTATGTTGAACCATCCTTGCATTCCAGGAATAAAATTCCACTTGGTCATGGTGTATAAACCTTTTAATCTGCTGAATTCAGTTTGCTAGTATTTTATTGAGGATTTTGTGGGGTTTTTATAGTGTTTTGGCTTTGGAAAAATTAGGGTAATGCTGACCTCATAAAATGAGTTAGAAGTGTTCCCTCTTCACTTTTTTTTGAAGAATTTGAGAAGGATTGGTGGTAATTGTTCTTTAAATGTTTGGTAGAATTCACCAGCAGAGCCATTTAGCTCCAGGCTTTTCTTTGCTGGGAATTTTTTGATAACTTATTCAATCTCCTTATTAATTTTAGGTCTGTTAAAATTTTTTATTTCTTTATGAATCAGTTTTAGTACATTGTGTGTTTCTAGGAATTTTTCCATTTCTTCTGTGTTATCATTGTTGGCATACTGATTGCTACTTTAATTGGGTTTAATCTTCACAGTTCTGGCTTCAGAAAGTTCTTGGCTATGAACTCATTTCTGCATTCAGAAAAATCTGCATTCGGAGATCACGTGGCTTCTCTCTTGGAACTGAGAGGTCACTCGCCTTTGGAGCTTCCTTGCATTCTTTTTAAGAAACAAGTTCTTGTGAAGCCACATTCTTGATTCTGTTGGAAGCTTTTTCCTTTCCTGGTGTGCCTTTAATCTCCAGGAGCTCTTAATTTTCCCCCTCTATCTGGCCCCTTTCCTGCACAGAAGGGGAAGTTCGAATATGTTGACTCTTCAGTTACCAGGCTGTGGTATCAGTGGTGGATCAATAGCAGGTGATAAAGAGTTTGGCTTGTTTCAGAATGGGTTATTGGAGCTGGTAATTCATTTCTTCCACAGATATATACTGAGCACCTACTGTGCACCAGTCATTCAGGTACTGGAGGTCTAGCAGTGAGTGAACAAAGCAGTCAGAAGTTGCTGCCCCAACAAGCTTCCATTCAGCTGGGGAGGAGGTAGTGAAGCAAATATATCTAGTGTTGGATGGAAATGTTATGGAGGAAAAGAAAGGAGATAGGAGATGGGGAGTACATAGTGCTCCAGTTTTTCTGTAGCTCTAACAGTTTAGTTTTTTTCATTAAAGACAACAGTGTTTTCAGATTTAACATAGTTAACCACCTGCCCGGCTTATCTAGTCTTGATGACAACCCTGAGAGGAAGGAAGAAGGAGGGTTAATTTACAGGTGAAAGCACTGAGACCAATAAAAGTGAAGAGGTTTGCCCAAGGCCACATAACTTAGAGGTATGCCAGGTGAGTGTTCCGATTAGAAGAGACCATGAGAACAGGTGGTGACCCTCCCTTCCCTCCCTCTCTCTCTTTTTCTCTCTCTCTCTATTGATATTAGAGAAAGAGAGGGGGAGAGAGACAGACATCGATTTTTTTGTTCCACTTATTTATGCATCATTGATTGATTCTTGTATGTGCCCTGACCTAGGACTGAACCCACAGCCTTGTCATATCAGGACAACACTCTAACCAACTGAGCTACCTGGCCAGGCCTCACGTTATACTTTTTGATACCCTTTAGGTTTTGTAAATTACCTGCTCAAAAAAACAATAGTGGCAAAAGAGTATAGGACCCAAGTCCAAGCTGCCCCTAAATACATGCTTTAATCCCCTCTGGATCCAGATTCCGGCCCTCTTTCCCCCTGGCGAGGACAGGTGTAGGCAAAGTCTTTTCTTTGTATTTGTCCTTTTTGTGGTAAAATAGATGTAACATAAAACTTGCCATTTAACCATTTTTCAGGGGGCATTAAGTATATTCACAATGTTGCACAGTCATCACCGCTATTTCCAAACTTTTTCATCAGCTCAAACAGAAACTGTGCATCCATTAAGCAATAACTCCCCACTCCTCTCTTACCCCAGCCTCTTGTAGCCTCTAATCTACTTTCTGTCTCTGACTTTGCCTATTCTAAGTACCTTATATAGGTGGAATCATACAATATTTTTCCTTTTGTGACTGGCTTACTTCACGTAGCATAGATTTTCATGGTTCATCCATATTCTAGCATGTAATAGAATTTCATTCCTTTTTAAGGCTGCATGATATCCCATTATATGTGTATACCACATTTTATTTATCCATTCATCTGCTGATGGACACCTTTATTGTGACTAATGCTGCCATTGGTATGTTGGTGGACTTACTGGTGTATAAATATCTGTTTACGTTCCTATTTTCAATTATTTTGGTATATGCCTAGGAAGTGACATTTTTGAGACATATTCTATGTTTAACTTTTTGAGAAACCACCAAACTGTTCAGCGTAGTAGCTGTACCATTTCCCACTACCACCAGCAATGTATGATGGGTCCCATTTCTCTACATCCTGGCCCATACTTATTTGCCTTAAAAAAAATTACAGCTATCCTGCTTGGTGTGAGGTGGTATTTCATTGTGGTTTTGATTTGTATTTCCCTAATGATTAGTGCTGTTGAACATCTTTTCATGTATTTATTTGCCATTTGTACTGTCTTTGAAGAAATACCTGTTCATGTCCTTTGTCCATTTTTTAAAGTGAATTGTTTGTCTTTCTGTTGTCAAGTTGTAGTTGAGTTCTTTATATATTCTGAATATTACACTTCTCAGATACGGAATTTGCAGATGTTTTCTTTTATTCTGTGGGTTGTCTTTTCACTCTCTTGGTAATGTCCTTTGATGCACAAAAGCCTTTAAATTTTGATGAAATCCAAATTACCTATTTTTTCTTTTGTTACCTGTGCTTTTAGTGTCATATTCCACAGTTCTTGAGTGACATGTCTATTAGGGTAAGTGCGTGGAAGAAAGACAGTCTAAAGTTTGAGTTAATTTTTCAGCCCGTAGTAATTTCTTGTGGGACCTGTGAATGGGGAGGAAGTATGGCCTGCCTGCTGCCAGCAGATTGGAAGGAAGGAGTCTCCTCCCTCAGGGAAAAAGCGGCTCCCCATTTTTGGTTCAGTTTTCTGATGTGAGGACAAGGCCACCGTAGAACAGACGCCAGCATTAAGCTCTTTCTCAGCCTGCCCCTGCTGATGGAGAGTGCCTACTTGCCCCATGCAGATGGCTGCTTGCTGGTC